TCAGTTCTTGCTTTGATCTACACCCATCACTTCCTGTCCTATTCCAAGTAAATGAGAGCAGACTATTTTCTTTCTCTTTGCAATAGCTTTTAATGTACTTGAACACTGAACACGTGAGTCAATCTTGTCTTCCTTAGTCTAAACAACCTCGGTATTTCAACCTGTTCTCATATTTCAATCTATTTTCTGGATCTTAGTCACTACAGGTCCTCTCTTTTGGACTCCCTTCAATTATTGCACATCTTTCCTAAAGGATAGTGCCCAAAACTGGATGCAGCATTTCAGTGTGGGTCTTCTCAGTGCTTAGTAGAGGGAAAGCACTTTATGTGTCATGCACAGTCTCAGTATAATGCTTGTCTTTCACACATCGACATGACATTATTTGCTCCTATTTACCTTGTGACCCCTTAGAAATGAACCTAGGCATAATTTAACAATACAATTGGAGAGCTTCCTGGGACTGCTCAGGAGATGCTGAGGGCAAAATTAGTATTGCAGAGCTGCTATGTGTATTAACAAAGCAAATGAAAAGGGAGATTTGAACACCTGTTGCCAGATAAGTTCCCCAAACTGAGACTGAGAAAGACTATGATGTTGCTTGCCATAATATCAGATTGGGAAAGAGATGCAGTGACCACAGGGCACCATCATATTGGTTCTGCAGAATTACTTCTCAGGCTAAGACTGTTAAGACAGTTTTTCCCTGCTGGAGGTAAGCTTCAACTATGTACTTACGTTTGTACACTTACTCATGCATATTTGATTTTGGGCTACTTTTTAGGAGTGTGTGCATTTTTACAAATGCAACACCAGGAAACAATAGCCAATATACACACATTTCATATTTTGTATATTGAATTGCCTCATTACATCCCTCACAAATGTATATGAACTGTAAAAATCAATTCTTGAAAACAGTATTCAAAAATCCATTTCCTTAATAACTTTGCCCTTTATCAAAGGATTAATGGCTTAGCACATATGAAATTGGCCAAGGAATCATTCAGTTCTTAAAATGCTCCTTTAAACAAAAAGCTGGCATTTTTGATCTCATTAGATGTCAAAAAGATGACGTTCTTTTCTTGTTCCTACAAAAGTTAATGGTCTAGGGCATTTCTGTGTTCAGAACAAAATTGGGTCCAAAACAGTAAAGCACATCAAATGTTATGCTGTAGCCATTTATGACAATCCCATTATGTGTTATTGGCTTCTTTCTACTTGAATATTCAACATGCATTGCATGTTTTTATAATAATGTCAGTGGGCAAAGAAATACAGTGTAGCTGAAAAAACCTGAAGATATTCAACTCAGATCTGCTTTTCCAATCTGTGGCAACATTTGAATAATGCCATAAATATTCAACAATAGTGCGGACTGCAATTTTACCTTTGATTTACAATATAACAAGTGGGCCTGAAATTATATATGTAACTCATTAGCAGTCAAGTAAATGATGACTAGAGCCTGCTGTATGAACAGTTCTGTATTTCAGAATAAGCACCAAAAGGCCAGGTACTTCTTTAAAGAGAAATTAAAACATACTCTTACCTTTATAACTTTACATTTTACAATATTCACTGACTTAGCAGTGCGGAATGCATGAGATACTTCACTGCATGAGATCTAGAATTTTTGCATTAACATGACAAGTAATGCAGCACTTGGTTGCTTTTTCTGACAGTCTTAATAATAGCAAGAAATTGCAAAGAAGGTCATGATATTGTTTCACTGCAAAATATTTTCAAGCTCAGAATTGGTGGGACTGAATAAACTACCCACAAAATATACTGTCGAAAACACTATTATGAAACCAAATCTATTCTGTTACTTATCAGGTATAGAGGGAACTTATTTAATATATAATAGCAAAAAGTTTTGAAACCTCCAACTGAGATACTGTAACATGATACTGAATTCACAATGTGAAAAACACGAAGATTTACAAACACACTAGACAAAAGTTGACCTCAGATAAAGTAAATGTTATTCTTTTACAAGTAGTGATGAATACACTAAAGACACTTCTGGAATGACATCATGATCTCACCAAAATCAGCCAGATGAGTTCTACTGACTGCAATAGATCCAAGATTTCATTCCTGAACTGTGCTATGAGGTGTTGAAATAAGATGAATCAGATGTTGGAGAAGTCTGCCAGATACTGCTGATCAACAGCACAGGTGTTGTTTAATATAAAAAATGCCATCAATCTGGATTAAATAAAAGTATTAGATCAGAAATGATACTAAACACAACAAAACAGATGAATGCATTATTAAGGTTCTCAATGTGTTCAAGCAACAACAAAGCCTACATTAAAAAATCACGTTTGTGCATAATTACCATTAAGCCACCCACTCAGTGTTTTATGTTTTTTGCCATTACTATAACACAAAATGAGCAGATTGAAGCTGCACAGGCAAGAATTGAGCTGGGCTGTGGAGAGAGGCTGTGAAATCTGTCCTTGGAAGTTTTCATAACCCCACAGGCCAAAGCCCTGAGTGATGCGGCCTGAATTCAGCTTTGACCCTGCTTTGAGTTGGAAGTCGAACTACGGCTCTCCTGGGGTCCCCTCCAGCCTCAGTGATGCTGTGATATTCCCTCTGTGAGCTGCAGCTTGAGGCTGTGCCCTGCCCTTCATTTACTGCCTCTCCATATGCTGGTGATAAGGATTAACCCGGTCCTTCCCCAGCCAGTGCACATCCCCTTATGTCAGTTATGTCTATTGCACAACTGTGTCAAACAAGACCTGTAAGACCTGTTGTCGCATTAAGGAGAGATCTTAATTTCTGGTTCCCCTCAGATTTTCTTATACAAGATGATACAAGAATTAGAAATCAAAGGTATTTCTGTCTTCTAAATCTGTACAGAGGAAGCTTCTCTTAAATCTTTAGTACTCTTTACTGTTACTTTTTAACCCTATTAAAAGAAAAAAAGACAGAACTTTTTATGGCATTTAGTATTTTGCACCAGTTCCCCGTATCTTGATTCTTTGCAAGCCAAGATGTGGTTCTTCTGGTACATAATCACCAGGTAATTCTGGAGCTGAATTACCATATGCGAGAAGTGTACACCGTGGCTTGATCTTCAGCAGATTCATGAAGAGAGATGGAGAATGGAGGTAATAGAGTAACGGTCCATGTTAACAGAAGAAGAAAGAAAATATACACTAGTGCAGGAGAAACCCCTCTATCTTAGATTATCTTCCACATCTGAAGGGCAACAATGCATAAAGAGTGGAACATAGGTTTTGCTAACAAAGCCCAGCAGACCACTATACAATAACTTAAAATATTGCACTGTAATTTAAGATGCTGTTTTATGCACATCATAAAATAAGTCTGTAGAGGCAAACTGCAGCCAGGGCAGTTGCAGACCTCTAGTGACATTTGTACATATACACCATAAAACTCCACCTGTTTAAGCCAATTTCCAAGTAAAACTGCTCTGAAGTACTTTTCTACAGCCCTTCTTACTTATTTCTTCAGTCAGCACTGGTATTAAAAGTCACATGGTCATTTGCTGTTGGCAAGAGCATGGAGAAAAGTGCTGAAGTAGGCAGGTGTGATGGTGGCAGGCTTGGTAAAGCAGGCAGCTGAAACAGAGAGTGAAGGCACTGCTGGAGCCAAGGCAGAGCCTGAATATAAACTACCTAGAGGGTCTCCCCTGCCAAATGGCTTCAAAACCCTTCCTTCATGGTGGGGCTGAGACAGAGGCATTCACCAAAGTATGTGATCCACACATGATGAGCTGATTTTGAAGGTAAAACACTTAAGTAATTTCAAGGTATTTATTACCAGGAGGTATTTTTCAAATGGGTTATTGTATACCCATATATACATTTTCTTGGCATACCTACACCAGATTGCAAGAGAGAAAAAAATAAGTATGTTAATCCTTCTGACTACATTTCCATCATCTGTACTCCAACCTTGGATGAGTACAAACTTACAGATGTTACAGTCAGAGTCTTCAGAGCAGATTTAGGACATAGGAGTCAAGGTTCAGATGGTTTGGCTGCCTGATTCTTTCTTCTTGTTTGTTACTGCTGTATTTGAATATCCTAAGATGCACCATATGCTTGAAAGGATGGCTTTAATGAAAAAGCCTATGGTGAAAACATGAGTCTGACAAAATATGCAAGTGAGAAGGATAGCAAATATCCTATGTTTCTGCCTATTAATAAGTAATGACTCTAACTTCTCATTCAAGTTTTGCAAGAGCTCAATCTCTCTCAGCATCAACTCTGTTAACATTCCTAAGCCTTCACCTAACAAAAACTTTCCCGTTTGAGGAGAGTTTTTGGCCAATTTCTAGGCCTGTCTGAGAGCCAGGCCCACCCACGTCAGTGCCTGGGTGCTGCCTGGCAGGGCAATAAAGGTGCCTTTAGGTAAGGCCACAGCCATCCAGGTGCAGGTACCTGACAGCAGCCGAGAGCTGACTCAACACCTCAAGCCTGAACCCAAGACAGAGCAACCAGTGGCCATGGTGAGTTTAAGACTATTTGCCCAATCTGCCCCTTTCCCAAGTGTCCCTCAGGGACCCATCACCTGAGCTCGCCGTCCCTCCTGCAGCTTTGAGGGAAGAACATCCTCCCAACCCCATGAGGCCCGAAAGAACAGCATCCGCCCTGGCTCCGCTCAAAGACTACAGCTCCCAGCAGGCCCCGCGTCCTGCCGCGCAGCACGCCGGGAGCCGTAGTTCCCCCAGCAGCGCTGTAGGCCCGCGGCTGGCAGAGCTGGTGGCGCTTTTCCCCTTCCGGCTATCCTCAGCGCACGCGTGCTGCTCCCGCCGCCCCTGCCTGGGCTCTGTGTATGCGTGAACTCGGCAGGGTACCGCTTCTCCCTGGCGGTTCGCTCTGGGGGCCACGCCGGAGGGTCTCGTTTCGACCGCCGGCGCGGGAACAGAACGGAAGAGGCGGGGGTGAGAACAGAGGGAGTCGCTGCGCGCATGCGCACAAGGGTGCCCCGCCGCCCTCGTGCCCGCGGAGGGGTGGTGTTGCCGGCCGGCCGTTGAGCCAGTCACGCGGGCAGGGCGGTGAGCGGGGCTCGCGGCGGCAGGAGCGCGCACAGCGGCAGCACCCGCCCTCAGCCGCGCCGAGATACAGCCCGCCGCGAGGGAGCGGCGCCGCTGCCGGCCGGCCTCCCCCTCCCGCCCCTCCTTCTCCTCCTCCTCCTCTTCATCCCTCCCCCCACTCCTCCTCCCGCCGGAGCGAGCGAGCGAGATGGCGGCCGCCGGGTCGCTGGCGAAGCACGAGCAGATCCTGGTGCTCGATCCGCCCACCGACCTCAAATTCAAAGGTGAGGGGGAGCTCGGCGCGGGGAGGGGGTAGCGGGATGGCTCGGCCCAGCCCAGCCCGGCGGGGTGTCCCCTTTCGTCTCGGCCCTGGGCCGCCTCCAGGCGCCGCGTTGCCTCCCCGGGGCAGCGATGCCGGGCCCTGCCTGCTCGGGTCCCTCGGGGTTGGGGGGGGCGCCGCCGAGCCGGTGAACGGGCTCGGCCGCCGCCATCTTGGAATCCCGTGGGGACTCGAGAGCGTGTCGGCGGCCCCAGCGGGTGCCTGCCCGCTGCCCGCTCTGCCGGGTGCGGCGCTCGGGGGCCGGCCGCCCCCTTCCGGCCCCAAACGCTGCGCCAGTCCGCCCCCTGCTCGGTGTGTTCCTCTCGCATGCTGGGCAGCGCTCCGCTCGGAAGGCCTGGCCCTGGAGTAACGGGGTCCGGGGAGGGCGAATTACGCACATGTCAGTTCTGTGTCCGCGAGGGTCTGCGTGGCTGCCGGGCGCTCTCCGTGAGGTGGCCCTGTGGCTGTAGTGGATCGGAGAGGCCCCGAGGCGGGAGGCTCAAGCCTTGCCGCCGTGCCGGGGAGCGGGGTGTGTGGGGGTGAAACACGATTCACGGGACGACCCGCGCGCCTGGTGTTTCCCCCTCCGCGCCCTGCGGGCCGGCGGCTAGCGCTGTTCAGAGCCCGGCCCTGCCCTGCCAGTGTCCCCGCCGCTGCTGCTGCGGTTTTGCACCATCACTGTAGGGAGGTGCAGGCGCTCGCAACCTCTCCCGGTGCTGCGTGGCCCGCTGGCCTAGTAGATGGCTCCCCGCCCTTTTCCCCAAGTTGTCATGTTTCAGAGAGGTTCTCGGTACTTAAACAGCCAGCTCACTCCTTTCTTCGGAATGAGGGAAAGGAATGTGTTCATTTCGGAAGTTTTTTTGTTTAGTATTGCGTGGTGAGCGCAGAACTGTGACTGGCATAGCACGTTTCTATGAACATAGGTCCCAGTTAGTGCGGTTATCATGTGGGGCTTTTTCTCTGCTAATAAAATCGGTAGTTGTGAAAAGAAAGGTTCTTCCAAAGATGAGTGATTCTTGAAAGGTAAGGACATAAACAAAAGCATTCTAGGATAAGTAGCTTTCAGTACTATGTTGTGATTATATTTTATACCCATAGGGTCATTAATAAAAATCTCATAACTTTTCAGATTTAGAATCTGCAGTATTAGATTATTTTTTAAGGTGTTAATGTTATCTGAATTTAGCAGTACATGTACTTACACCTAATCCTATAAATGTTCCTATTTTATTCTGTTTCATTTTTATTAGATTTATCTTTCATTGATTTAGAGGGACAGAGTGGAATTTATGATGGTGTAAAAAAATTTTTAAATGGGCAACTAGAACAAATTAATGTTTATGTTAGAGAAGAACACTGTTCTCCCAAAGTACCTTTGGCTTGCCTGATTCTTAGACAGTCTTTTAACAAACTGTACTTGCTTCATTAATCTGTCAAATCAGATAAAGCCTGAAATCTGTCCACAATGCAGATTTCTTGATAGCTTCAGTTTTTAATTTTTTAAATTGCACATTCATATAGAGGAATTGCACATTCATAGAAGAATTTATCTTTTCCACTTCTGTTTTGAGTTTTAAAATGCTGCCAGGTCTGACTGCACTCCGATTTCAATACAGTGTTCTTAATGCAAGGGCAGGTTGGAGGAAAATGGAAATTTTGAATTAAAAAGCTACTATGTCTAATTCAAAGCTTTCAGATGTTGAACGGTCTTAAGCTGGAAGCCATACTTACATGATATGAAACAAAGTGATGATACAGGGAATATAGAATAAATACTAGATTAGAAATTTAGTATGAAGCCATTGTCAGTGATCCTTATTGTGCTGAGTGTTTATGTACTTAAATAATGAAATGTGTATTCTTTAGGCATAAATTTTGGTTTTGGGCTAATGCATGTACTAGCAAAATTGCTATAGAGCAGACTGAGCAAAAATCTGAAACATAATGAGGCTGCAGTCTTTAATATTCCATAGAAAGCATTCTCCATTACTATATTATTACAGTAATATACTATAGAAAGAGCTATCTATTGGGAGAGCACGGAGTGCACTCTCAATAAATATTTTCTAACTGCTTATTATTCTGAGGTATTTAAAAAGGTTTGTGGGCCACAAGCTAATTCAGTTCTAAAATACTGCATTGAAGAATACAGTATTGGCAGGGGGATTCTGAGTGTTATCTTTTAGAAAGTAATTGGTTAGTAAGAGAACGTATTACTCAGAATAAGTGTAACCTAGTGTAGGAAAAAGTGGTTTTTTTTCAGTGCAGCTGATTTTTCAGAGGTTTTTTTTTTTTTTATTGGGACAGTGTCATACTGCTGATGTGCATATAACAGAGATCCAGTTTTGAGTCTAATTGTCTAAATTGGGCAAATAGTTTTGTTGGTTTTCTTGCCTCAGGATTTGCTGACCTTGAGGATAAAAGTGACAGTAAATGTATTGGTATGACCCCATGTAAAGAATTATTTAAGTTAAAAAATATATAGCACTTATCTTAAGGAGCTGTTAACAAGGCTTTAAATTAATCATTGCCTGGTGTAACTTTTTTTTTTTTTTTTTTTTTAATCTACTGCACTTGATTAGCAAAAGCAAGGTCTGTAATACATTTATTCTGAATTTTATTCAGTTTCAGGGAGAAGTCTAAAGAACATGTCCCATGGTGGCCAACACATTACACATTTACCTTGGTAACCAAAATATTAGAATCCTGTTTATTAGTACTTTGTATTCCTTGAAACTTAAGTCATTAATGATGTTTTGGGTCATGGCTAATTCCCTCTGCTTTTATGATAACTAGATATCTGGATTCTGGAACCATCAGGAATGCCTAAGGAAAATGGCAAAACAAATAAGTACTTTTCAGAGTATTGTGCAAATATGAGGGGGAAAATCATACTTTAAAGTGATGCAACTAAGAGGCAGTTGAGAAGCTGTGTAATACTGGTTTCAGAGACTCAGTATGGAGCATTGAGAATTTGCCTCGTGGTACTTGCATCCAGATCTTCAGCCATATTACTCCTCTGTAGATCAGCTTTCTTCTGTATTTTAGTCTAATCTATTTTGTTGAGCCTCAAGAATCTGAAGTTTGGGTTTGTTTAGGACTGGATAGGAAGAGTGGAAACATGAGACACTTTAGCTAACATCTGCTTCTTACTGGGGTCTTTTTCGTATGACTCATGCATGTCATCACTGGCTGTAGCTCTAGTTTAGTGAAGATTATGGTAATCTGGAATTGGTGGTTTGGGAGTAAACGTGGTTTTTTTATTTTTTAAGCAGTTTGTAGTTTAATAGCAGCACTTGAAGTTTTCAGTTCAAAGATTTCTAGCATTTGTATGGAAACTCAGTCTCCCTTAAGAAGCCAGTTTTGCAATTCTAAGTAACAGTAGCAATTTAAGTTGGTCTTGGGTGATGGTCCTTTTTAAAAAAACCTTCACCAAATCTTTCATTCAGACATGGTTCTGCAACACCTAATTGAAAATCTACTCTAGTTGATTTGATGAGCCTTGGAAGATTAGTAGACACTGTTCAGAATTTGAATTTCATGTGATTTGCAGATGTCTGACTAGCAATATAAAAATGTATGAATATCCTAAATTGATATCCGTTGTTGAAGTTCTTACTTACAAGTTTGTGAAATCCAATTCTGTTACCTTTGTAAACATCACGAAATAATGAGGCACACTGTTTTTTTTTGGTGTTATTACCTCGAGGCTAGGAATAAGTCAGCAAGCAAGCAGACTGAAGTCCACTTCTGAGCATGTCTGTGTGCAGTAAATTTTCCCGTTGATGGTTTGAGTTACTGGGAGAGATCAGTATAACAGATGATGTTTCATTTCTGATTATTAATCTGATTTATAATATAGGATTTTTAGTATAAAAGCAGCTATCCGATGGTATATGTTCAAATGACTCTTCCCAGGTGAGGTAGAGAGCACTTCACTTAAGTATGGCTCATTCTGAAATCCAGTTTTTGATGACCTATTAAATAATACAATGATATTGCTATGGATTTTGTAATCACTACATTGCTGTTGGTAACATTGAAAGCCACAGGCTATGTATTGCTGCAAGTCGAGAAGGTGAAATTTAAAGGTAAAAATAGCTCAATGTTAAATGCATCCCCTGCCCTCAAGGTCCGTTGCCAGAGTTGGCACAGAATATATTTTAGTGTAGGAAGGATTTGAAGTTTGTTGCCTTATTTGTTTGTAAGTTTTGCTTATTTCAAATTTATGCCTTTTTTCACTTTATTCAAAGTACCAGCAAATTTGTGATGTCCCAGATTTCTATGGTTAAAAAAAATAAAAAGCAATTGGGATGTCAGTTTTCTGGTATCTTGTTCAAGAACATTTTTGAAACTAAACAATGGGAGTGCAGAGGGGAAGAACTGTTTGGGATTACTAACACAGTTGTGGCTTTTTGATACTTAGAAGTGATTCCAGTGAAGTTAATGTTTTTGCTGGCTGAGTATTGTGTAATGACAAAGATTGACCATCCCATACAGTGACTCAGTATTCAACAAGTAGTCATTGACTTTTTTTTGATCCAAGAGGAATTCCTGGAATTGTTTATTCTTGCTGAATATATCTGTACTTCTATCCACTGTTTTCTTGCTCAAATGTAATATTACTATTTTTTATGATAGTTATTAATGAAAATTAAAACACAATTATTAGTGGGGATGTGTTGAGGAAATGAAAGGAAGAGAATGTTTTTTACCATGTGTTACTTATGAGGTTTCTTCTACCATGGTGTTAGACTGCATTTAAAACTGACAAATAAATGGCAGTTTGTTTGTGAAGTCAGGCATGTTATAGGTCTTGAATTATATTTCGGGAGATCTGATTTGCCATTTGTTTTAAGATTCAGTAATGGAAGGTCTTCCTGTGATGACAGAGGTATACAGCAGTGAAGATTTGGAAGTTTTTCCCTTTACCTGCAATTTGTAGGACTCTGTTTTACCTAATAT